ATATATATATAAGGTAATTTTTTTAAAATTTTTTTTATTAAATTCAAAATTAAAATTTAAAATCTCTAATTTAAAATTTTAAAATCTTAATCATAAAATCATTTTTTTATGGTTATTTCTTTTGTAATTACCAATTATTGTAATTGTTAATTATTTTTTACTTTAGACTTTTAATTATTGATTATTTGACTTTTAATATTCTTAATGATAATTGCTAATTGATTATATTTTTTGATTTCTAATTTATTTGGGGAAGAGGCTGAGTGGTGCGGTGCGGCTGCTGTGTGGGAAAGGGAGGGTGTAGGGGGCAGGTGAAAAGGCTAAAGCTGCATCTTGACGGGCTGAGCCAGGTGGGGAGGTTGCAAGGGAGCGGCTATGTAGGGGAGGAAGCTTGGTCTCGTACGGGAATACCACCAGTTCAAGCCGGGGTAGAACGCTGAGGAAAGAGGGTTTGATAGAGGCGCAAGGAGTGGAAGACACGGGCATCTGCGGCATGTTTTAAGGAGGTTGGTAAAGGAAGAGCGACGGGGATAAGCGATCCCCTAAGAGGCAGAAAGCAACGGTATAGGTTGCTTTTGTTGTGTATGAGCAAGCCAAAGATGTAGAAAATAGAAGAAGTTGAAATTATATATGGGGGAGGCCAAAGAATTTCCAGGAAGCTATTTAAAGGATAATAGATTTTCAATATATAATGCAGGTGGCTTCATAGAATTGGTACAATGCCCAACACGAGAATTTCAAAGTTGCACTCTTGAAAATTCTTAAACAAAAACCCAAAAATTGAGAAGAAGGATTGTAACTGTTTGTTGTATTGCTTAGTGTATAACTGTGTACCAAGGTGTCACCGAACGCTTTGTGAGAAGTTCTGCGAGAGACGTAAGCATTTTAGTTTCGAGGGCTATTAAACACCATATTTGTACACTTGGGGGTTACAAATGTGAATAGCCATTTAGAAACGTACTGTAACAGTAAAATATATTCGTACTGTAGAAAAAGAGTACCTATTGATACTTTTCAGACGGTTCAGATATTTATTTTTTAGTCAGGTTATAACTTGGGTTGGGATTCGAAGTCTAACTTTCTAATTGGAAGTGCACTTATAACATAAATTATAGTGATCGGCTAAAAAATGTTGGGTGTCAGAAAGGTTCAGATCTAGATACCTGCTTTATTTAAATTTTTAATTTTCAAATATTTAGAAGGAGATGGCTAAAAATCATTTAGAATTTGATCCGTTACAAGATTAATATATTTGTAATTTTTAATTAATTTATTTGAATTTAAACATTCACAATATAATTTATTGATTTTAACATTTATGTTTGTTGTATTGTCATCCTCATTCTCATCCTCATCCTCACCATTAACCTAGAATAAGGAAGGAATATAAAATAAGAAACATAAATTTAAGACAAAGAAAATCATTTTGAAAGTATAAACTTTTGGTCAATACAAGTTTTAATAGACATTAGTTTCTCCATAACATCTTCCTTTGGGAACAAAAGCAAAGAAATCCACAAGCTCCCAGAAATGGAGTTACTGTTTAATCAATATCAAAATTGCAAGTAGTGAAAACAGACACAGCCAAAAGTTGAAACACATAAGACGATAAACCAGTAGAGAGAGTCTTCATCAACAGGTAGTCAACACAATTCTCTAAGCAGAGTTTAAACCAAAAATTACCTGTCTGATGTGAGTAACTGGTGGACGATTGGCTGCCCTCATTTTTTCAATAGCCTGATAATTACCTTCCAAACATTCTTCATGCATAATCATCAACTTTTCTGCAACCTATAGAGGGTTTTAGAAAATTCATTATCCTTCATGAAGAAAGGATATTAGAAACAAAAACCTGAAACCCTTCCAAGACTAGTTGCAAACTTGCAAAGTTAGCAGGACTAGATACAAGGAAACTGTACAATAGAAAAACTGAGATGCGGTCACCATATGCATGAATTTAACTTCAGGAATGGCTCTGAACCTAAATCTTGAGTTCATTACCAAACAGTCCAAACCAAGATAGTTCTACAAGTTATATATGTTCCTCCTGCAATAATTCATTCACTAAATCACCACTACAAAAGCCTAAAGGCAGGCAGAAGCATTCTAGTTACTCCTAAGAATCTTATCTTTAGCAATGATGTCCAAAAAGCATCCCTATATGTCAAAAATCAGAACTGCCGAGGATATACTTATAATTCATCGTTAAAGTTCAAGATGAACAGAAAAATCAATACCATACAAAACTAGAAATTGTAGTTCAATTCAATTCCTTCATAGCCCTTGGAAACAAGGTCTCCCTATTCTTGAATACAATTACTTGCTGTTAAAGTTGAGAAGCAACCCTTCATTTATCAACAACCTTAAACCAATCTAAAGAAGAAATAATGCTGCCATCCTCAGCCATTGTATTCAAAGAAAGCAGAGATTCCTCAAGGATCATTTCTAGATCATCAATGTAAAGAGGCTCTGAAAAGAATGTAATACCCAAAATTGAATCAAACCGAAGAAAGAAAAAAATTGCACTAAGAAATCATGAATAAAGAATTAGAAAACTCGGGCAATCGAAAATTCACAAAATCAAAACAAAAGTCGGCAAATTTAATCATACACGAGCAGAACTCAAACTTAGTGCAGAAATACAGCTAAAAAAAACAAAAGGAATGGAAAAGGAAGAATTATGGGGGGAAAGCGACCACCTTTTGAGCTGTTAAAGAAGGAGAAGACATCGGAGAGAAGGAGCTCAGCCCCACTCGTTTTCGACGGCCAGTTGCAGAACCGATCACCGAGACAGGAGTAAACCAATTCCTTCCCGGAACAATGGCACCGATTCTGCCGTCAACTGTCTGCTATCCATCGCTCTTTGCTTGCTGCTGAGACCGACTCGAGTATGTAAAACCCTAAAAACAAGCAGATGAATACTCTTCCTTCCTGTTCCAGGAAGTAGAAGAGAAGGCGTTGATCTCCATCGTTTAATTTTTTAAGATAGAGGGACTAAATTGTGTTATTTTTAGTCCTTTTTAGTTCCTTCAATTTGATTTTTTTTTGTACATCTTTCAATTTGGAATTTATGTTCTGTTTTATTTATACAAAATTTAACAAAGTATTAAAAAAGAATTAAATTTAAAATTTTAAAAATTAAAAAGAGATTTTTTTAAAATAAATATGTTGAAATTTTTTTTTTTATCAAAATAGGTAGATAGATTTAACGGGTTAAAGCCAACTCTCGTCCCTCTACTTTGTAAAAAAGTTCAATTTAACCCTTCTACTATGTAATCACCTCAAGTCGTCCCTCTACTTCATTTTGAGCTCACATGTCCCCCCTTTACTATTCAAAAAGTGATTAATTTCGTCCCTCCATCCATTCTGGCTAACATCGTCACTTTTACCGTTAACAACTAATGGTTTGGGCCGCTTGGCGTTTAACATATATTTCTATATATATATTTTTTATCTGATTTAGTTATAATAGGATCCACCAATGCCACATCATATTGCATATTAATATCTTTTTACAGGAAAATTACAAGTATATAGATGAAATATTGTTTATATTTGTATTTAATTTAAAAGTTAATAGATATAAAATTTCAATACTTAATATGTATTTAAGTATTGAAAATCTATTCTTATTATTTAACTTGTTGATGTACATGTGGTATACTTGCAAATATACTTATATATTTGTTAAATATTTTAATATTTTAATATAAATTAAAATACAATTAAATGTATTGCAAAACATATATTTTAGTTCATACATAATATACAAATATAAGTTTTTTTTAATGTACTAATTCAATATAAGAGGTGTACCTTTAAAATAACCCTTAAAAGATATACTTTTCTTTTTAAACTATAAAAAAATGATTATTATTTTAAGACAAATTCAAAAAATATTTGTCTCCTAAAATAAATAAATAAAAGTTGACATATATCAAATAAATCACTACATCCTTAATTAGTACCTTTTACTACCTTTTGTATTTGTATTCCAATTTAATTATGTACTTTATTATAAGTATAAAGTCATTTTTTTATGTATATATATTATTTTTTTTATATTTATAATTAAGATGTTTTCAAATTAGATTTCTTGTATCTTCAGACTAATTCTTATTTGGATTATTTTAAAAATACACCTTTTATATCAAACTAATGTATTCAAAGAAACTTATGCTTATATATTATTTATGAAGTAAAATATATGTTTTGCAATATGTTTAATTATATTTTAATTTTTACTAGAAGGTTATAATATTCAATAAATATATTAGCACATCTATAAGTATATATATATTCAACGAGTTAAATAATAATAATAATAGATTTTTAATACCTAAATAGATACTGAGTATTAAAGTTTTATATCTATTAATTTTTAAATTAAATACAAATATAGATAAATATTTCACTCATGTACTCGTTTAGCTTACTTATGTACATGAATACAATCGTAAATTGTGAACTCACTTTAAACCCTTCAAAGTTTACAATTAAAAGGATGGTAATAGGTATTATGAATTTTTCTTTTTCTAATTATAATTTTTTAAACCTTAATAAAATTCAAAAATTTTTATCTATTTCTTTTTTAAAAAAATTAAATTTATTTGATTGCCTACTATAATTTTGAAAAATATCCCTTTAATTGAATCAACTAAAAAATTAAAAAAAAAAACATAAATCTGGGTAATAATTGAAAAAAAAATTGATAAAATGTTCATGTAAAATGATATTAATATAGAGTATGATGTGGAATTAGTGAGTCCTATTATACTCAAATTGGAGAAAAGTGACGGTGTTAGCCAAACCGTTAGGCTTTAGCTATAAAAAGTGATGGTGTTACCCATGGAATGGAAGGAGGGACGAAATTGATCACTTTTTGAATAGTAGAGGGAGGACATGTGAGCTCAAACTGAAGTAGAGGGACGACCTGAAGTGATTTCATAATAAAAAGGTTAAATTGAACTTTTTCACAAAGTAACCCCTAGATTTAACCATTAAATCTTTCAACTACTTTTGCAAAATAGAGGGGAGATAGTTGGCTTCAACCCTAGATTTAACAATTAAATCTTTCAATTAATTTTGCCGACAAAGCTTTCTTTTACCCATGTGGATGGGGGGCCATCAATCAATCTGCTTTCTTTTACCCATGTGGATGGGTGGCTATCAATCAATCTGCTTTTCCGACAAAACTTTCTTTTACCCATGTGGATGGGTGGCAGGGCAAATTAGCCCCTCTACTAGTAAAGTTGTGGCATATCAGTCCCTCTGCGTTTTTTGGCTGCAACATACCCCCTCTAACCTATGCAAACAGAACCTTTTCTAGCGGCTGACGTAATCAAGCCGTTTCCTCCGTTAAGTTTAAAATGTTAAATGTCAATTTTCATTCTTAAACTTTCAATTTTAGATAATTCTAATTCTTAATTTATTTTATATATTTTTTTAATCCTTAATTTTTAAAAAATACATATTTTTTTCCCTTTAATTTTAAATCCCAGGCTGTCTTTAATTTTAACGCACGGCAACGTGTCTTTTGCAAAATCCCAACTACATATTGCATATGAGAATGAGTATTTCTACCAAATATATATATATGTATATGAAAATGAGTACCATGAAGGGATATATACTGAATAATTTAATGCATTGCAGTTTGTATTGCATATGTACTAGGAAGGGTTGACAGGTTAATCATGACTTAGTATATACGGAAATGAATACCTTGATTATTTCATTTAGTAATAAATTTAATTTTGTCTTTTAAAAAATTTAAATAATTAATTTTTTTTATTTATTTAATACTTATAATATTAAATACATATATTTATTTAATAATAAATAAAAATTATATAAAAAAATTATATAAAAATTATATCTATATCATTGCTTTTTAATTTATTTAGACAAATTAAAATTACCAATAATTTTTATTAAATTCAAAAATAATGACATGATATTTATTTTAAAAATAACTAAAAAAATAATTTAAATCGAGAGAGTTAAATCTTTATTAAATCCACTAATTGATGAAAAAATGAGAAAAAAGCTCCGTTGTTTTTACAACTTACTTAACCTTTGTATAAACGGTGTTATAAGGTCCGCTAATAGAGAGACAATAATTGACTCTTTATTCAAAATTTCAACTTTTGAAGATCTTGATGATTCTTTTTGTAATAAAAGGATAACAGTGAACCTTTAATTGTACAAAAGTTTAGGGATTTGTCTTGGCATTATACCTTCTCGTGTGTATGTGGGGCTATCAACCCGTTCTCACTTGAACTTGCTTTTTCAGGTTTGTCGCGTTTCAATTATTGTCGACGAATTCCTTTCCCTTGCTTTTCCAAGTATTTTCCAGGAAATCAACCATTTATCCTGCTTTTTTCTAAACATTTTCTAGGAAAGGGCTAAAAATCAGTTTGGGTGTTTCTACGAAGGCTCACAAGGGTCATAAGGAGTTCTGGTGATGAAGCCATTCTTCATTATTAAAATTGCTTCTTCGCCATTTTCATAAACTCTCTTTTCTTCCATAACTTTGTTTCTTCTCTGCAAGCTTTAAGATCTTAATTTTCCAGGTAAATATATACATACAAGCAGTTAATTCCTACTATTTTCACTCATTCATTTGTTTGATGCATAAAGACAAATTAAGAAATTTTTTTAACAAATTGTTATGGTGTATATGCTTTTGTTTCGTAGATCAGATGTCTTTAACTAATTTCTTATAATTTAATTTTCTTACATATTCATTTTTCTCCTCTTGGTTTGATGACAGTTATTTTTGCACCGAAATACCCTGCACAAGGACTAAGGTAAGGAGCTAGGTTTGCCTGCTTTCTTTTTATTTTGATCATACAATTTTTCAAGACCTAGTATACATGATACATTTTTTCATATAAAAGATTTTAGAGTTTAATATATTTTCCTTCTAAGATTCTAACCTCGTAAAACAAAATATATGGAGGAAAAAAATTTGTTACCATAAATTAAAGACGTTTAATAATACTTTTATTTCTTATTTTTTGTTTTAATTTCATGCAAAAAAATTTAGCAACCATGACAACTAGAACTAGAAATCAACTATATACCAAAACCAAAAATAAAAAC